ATGTTATGTTCGTCTGAATATAAGTGAAGCACCAATTAAGTTGAATTTCATATATTTGCCCATCTTTGTACTTGCAACGTGTTGAATGTGAATTTTTACTTTAGAAATACTTTCTACAGTAGCTTAGCTTTATTCTGCCAAGTCTACAAATTGCTGGCTGATCAAGAAATAAATTTTCTAAAATTTTGAAATCTGAAAATATTCTTACCCTGAAAATCGGTAAAAAATTTATTTTTGTCAAAAAATATTTAACCCGAAGCGCCCTTTGTGATTCCCTAGATCAGTCTCACTGATTGCGACAATTCAAGCTTATATTATCGGATTTATATCAACAATTGCGTTCCGAATGTTATATTCGTCTGAATATAAGTGAGGCACCAATTAAGTTGAATTTCATATATTTGTCTATCTATGTACTTGCAACGTGTTGAATGTGAATTTTTACTTTCGAAATACTTTCTACAGTAGCTTAGCTTTATTCTGCCAAGTCTACAAATTGCTGGCTGATCAAGAAATAAATTTTCTAAAATTTTGAAATCTGAAAATATTCTTACCCTGAAAATGGGTAAAAAATTTATTTTTGTCCAAAAATATTTAATCCTGTTACGTCTTGAGGTGGCCTGTTTTTGAGGTGTTACAAGGGCGGCCACTTGCCGGCCCTGGCGGCCTCTGGCCGCTAGTAGAGTGCGGAGAACGGAATAACACGTCCGGTCGGTTCGGGTTCCAAGATAATTCTAACCTTTATTACAGTGTTACCAACAGTACAATATATACAGTAGTCACCAACATAACATCTCCCGCCTAAGATAAAAACTTAATTATTTTATTTTAAGACAATTAAGAAGATGTCATACCATCAATCCATCAATCAATAATTCCAATTTGTGAGAATTAATGCACAAGAATTTGGTTTCAAAAATGCAATTTAAGAACTACTTTAAATTCACTCTTGAATTGGAACTACAAATTTTGCACTTTTGAAATTTACTAGAAATTTTGAATTTACTTTCAACTTTTGAATTTTCAAATTTGCTCTAAACTTTCTCAACTCAGAACTCTTAAAAATCATTCTCAATTTCAAATATTCACTGAACTTAATTTCACCGAAAAATGTTCACGCAATCTGGATACGGCCTGAAATTCCAGTTGCTGATTTTCTTCTTTTCTCTCCTCCTCGTCTCAGGAATTTTCACCTCAGGCTCTTGTTCGCCTGGCACTTCTTAAACGACCCCTGAGGAGATCCCCTCAACTCAGGTCGAAGGCTCGAGGATACGGTTGCACCCTCCGAGTCACTCACACGTTGGCCAGAGAAGGCGGCTGCCTCCTCCTGGCGTCTCTCTCGTACGAACGACAGCGCCACACGTCCTCTGTCTGGTGGCCGCTGGTTTTCCCTGGACTCAATCTCGCCCTTCTCTTTCCTCTTTCTTGCTTTCTTTGCGCTCAGCAGACTCTGCACTTGAAGACAAGACTTGGCTCGTGGTCTCTCTCCACTCGAACTCACGATGACGAGCCCAAGTCCTCCTCCTTCCTCCTTTCCCTTCTGGCCCTTTTTCTTGAAGGTGACGAACACGGTGAGCTTCCCACCCTGGGAGAGCTCTTCACTGGGTCGCACTCCGACCCTTTTCGGCGACGCCCTTCCCTGACGCCCCGACACACACCGTCCTCTTCCCTTGTCCGAGGAACGGCTGTCACGCTTCGTACTCTGCGGCAGGCGACTCTGCTCACCCTTCTCTTGCCGCTGCGATTTCGCTCGCAAACACTCTGGGCCGCGGGACTCTTGATCTCTGGCCAAACCGACTTTCACACTTCGCCGGCTGGCCGCCTCGACTTGAAAACGTCTGCTGACGCTCAGCTCACCTTGTTGGCTGATGTAACGCCCGGCTTTTCGCAGCCTCACGCGGAGAATTTCTTCTTGCCCGACTTTCCTCCCGCCGGAAACTCTTCGTTGGCTCCTTCGAAGTCTCTTTTGGTGCCGGACAGGTCCGCCTCCGGACACCAACCCAAGCCAATTTTGGGGAATCACCACACGCTGCACGTGGTCGCCGTCTGACACTTTTCTCGCTCCACTCACCTCTTCCTCCTTCACCGAAGTTAGTTTTTCCTCGTCGCCATTTGTTACGTCTTGAGGTGGCCTGTTTTTGAGGTGTTACAAGGGCGGCCACTTGCCGGCCCTGGCGGCCTCTGGCCGCTAGTAGAGTGCGGAGAACGGAATAACACGTCCGGTCGGTTCGGGTTCCAAGATAATTCTAACCTTTATTACAGTGTTACCAACAGTACAATATATACAGTAGTCACCAACATAACAAATCCGAAGCGCCCTTTGTGATTCTCTAGATCAGTGTCACTGATTGCGACAATTCAAGCTTATATTATCGGATTTATATCAACAATTGCGTTCCGAATGTTATATTCGTCTGAATATAAGTGAGGCACCAATTAAGTTGAATTTCATATATTTGTCTATCTATGTACTTGCAACGTGTTGAATGTGAAGTTTTACTTTAGAAATACTTTCTACAGTAGCTTAGCTTTATTCTGCCAAGTCTACAAATTGCTGGCTGATCAAGAAAAAATTTTCTAAAATTTTGAAATCTGAAAATATTCTTACCCTGAAAATGGGTAAAAAATTTATTTTTGACAAAAAATATTTAACCCGAAGCGCCCTTTGTGATTCCCTAGATCAGTCTCACTGATTGCGATAATTCAAGCTTATATTATCGGATTTATATCAACAAATGCGTTCCGAATGTTATGTTCGTCTGAATATAAGTGAAGCACCAATTAAGTTGAATTTCATATATTTGCCCATCTTTGTTTTTGCAACGTGTTGAATGTGAATTTTTACTTTAGAAATACTTTCTACAGTAGCTTAGCTTTATTCTGCCAAGTCTACAAATTGCTGGCTGATCAAGAAAAAATTTTCTAAAATTTTGAAATCTGAAAATATTCTTACCCTGAAAATGGGTAAAAAATTTATTTTTGTCAAAAAATATTTAACCCGCAGCGCCTTTTGTGATTCCTTAGATCAGTCTCACTGATTGCGACAATTCAAGCTTATATTATCGGATTTATATCAACAATTGCGTTCCGAATGTTATATTCGTCTGAATATAAGTGAGGCACCAATTAAGTTGAATTTCATATATTTGTCTATCTATGTACTTGCAACGTGTTGAATGTGAATTTTTACTTTAGAAATACTTTCTACAGTAGCTTAGCTTTATTCTGCCAAGTCTACAAATTGCTGGCTGATCAAGAAAAAATTTTCTAAAATTTAGAAATCTGAAAATATTCTTACCCTGAAAATGGGTAAAAAATTTATTTTTGTCAAAAAATATTTAACCCGAAGCGCCCTTTGTGATTCCCTAGATCAGTCTCACTGATTGCGACAATTCAAGCTTATATTATCGGATTTATATCAACAAATGCGTTCCGAATGTTATGTTCGTCTGAATATAAGTGAAGCACCAATTAAGTTGAATTTCATATATTTGCCCATCTTTGTACTTGCAACGTGTTGAATGTGAATTTTTACTTTAGAAATACTTTCTACAGTAGCTTAGCTTTATTCTGCCAAGTCTACAAATTGCTGGCTGATCAAGAAATAAATTTTCTAAAATTTTGAAATCTGAAAATATTCTTACCCTGAAAATCGGTAAAAAATTTATTTTTGTCAAAAAATATTTAACCCGAAGCGCCCTTTGTGATTCCCTAGATCAGTCTCACTGATTGCGACAATTCAAGCTTATATTATCGGATTTATATCAACAATTGCGTTCCGAATGTTATATTCGTCTGAATATAAGTGAGGCACCAATCAAGTTGAATTTCATATATTTGTCTATCTATGTACTTGCAACGTGTTGAATGTGAATTTTTACTTTAGAAATACTTTCTACAGTAGCTTAGCTTTATTCTGCCAAGTCTACAAATTGCTGGCTGATCAAGAAAAAATTTTCTAAAATTTTGAAATCTGAAAATATTCTTACCCTGAAAATGGGTAAAAAATTTATTTTTGACAAAAAATATTTAACCCGAAGCGCCCTTTGTGATTCCCTAGATCAGTCTCACTGATTGCGACAATTCAAGCTTATATTATCGGATTTATATTGTGGCGCTTGGGCCACAGAAGGGTCGTTTGAGAAATGAAACGACGGTAGTTCTTGATTCAGGTTTAATCCGAACTGTAAAAAATAGATACAATCAATATCACAATAATAAAAATAAATATTTTATTTTAATCAGGAATTTAATATGGTGTGGTTTGAGTAAACCTATTTGGTGATTTGTTTAATTGAGAATGAACATTGTGATGGAATGCTAATTTGCATAATTAATGAGTTGTGTGGCCGACAGTGGCCTTGCTATGTGAGCAAATAAAATCAAACAGATTTGCATATTTAAATGAGAAACAAGTTATTGAACAATTGAGGGATAATGCAGTGCATGTAATTTGAGTAAATTAATTCAGAAATTGAGATATTCGCGAGATTAAGTAAATGGCACATGGTGGCTGCACTCGGAATAATTTGTTATTTTGTATTTGGATATTGTCACTCGAGTATGGCACTTGCAGACAAACGCAATGTCTCGTTGAATGGGGAAAATTAACACTCAGGACTAAATCGTAAATTAAAGGCTTACCCCAGGCGTGGGTGTCGGATAATTTGAGATTGCGACGGACAGAGAGAATTTGTTTGTGTTGCTCGTTCGTGTCCGGCATGAGAAAGAAGGAGTGGTCCGAGGAGGGTCTCGGGGGAGATTTTACTGTGAGGTGCGCGCCCTCACGCGGCACCGCTACAGGGGCCCCCCCTATGACACCGGAGGTGCTCAGGACAGTACGTAGTCCTTGGTCCAGACAGGCAGTCTGGAGCGCCGGCCAGTACGAGTTATTCGGGTTTGGGCTGTGTTCGGAGGCACTTGTGGTGTCGGAAGTAGAACTGGGGGTGAGTTGAAGAAGAGGTCGAGGCTGAGGTCGCCTGTGGTGTCCAAATCTGGACTTCTTGGTCTTTGGGAATGAGGAGGAAGTTCTGCAGGTGGCTCAAGTGGTGGCCACTCTGTTGGTGTTGCCTCAGAGGCGCCCGAAGGTGTCTCTGGTGTACCTGGAGCTGAGGTAGGAGGCAAGGGTGCTACTGGAGGAGTGTCCAGACTGTCCGGAGGTGCTTCTGGGGTGTCCGGGACAGGACTTGGTGGCGGTGGTGGAGGCTGCGGAGTTTGCTGAGCTGTTGGCAGGTCGAAACGCACTCGTTTGACTGGTGCTGGCGCTGTCGGAACTGGTTCCTTCTCGGCGTGCTGATAGCAAGGTTTGAGTCTGTCGATTGTGACAACTTTTGATTTACCTTTAACCTCGATCACGAAGGACTTGGCGTTGCGCATGATCACTGAATAGGGACCAGTGTACGGCTTCTCGAGGGCCCCGCGGACAGCATCGGTGCGCAGGAACACGTGAGTGGCAGTGGCCAAGTCAGGGTGGACGAAGAATGTTTTTCCGCCGTGGTGGGCAGCCGGAATGGGCAGGAGAGTGGCGAAGTGACTGCGGAGTTGGGCAGCGAGGTCAGCAGCTTGCTGAGGAGTGGGTCGTACGAAAAAGGTTCCGGGCAGCCGGAGTTCTTCGCCGTAGACGAGGAGCGAGGGAGTGGTGTGCAGATCTTCCTTGAAGACAGACCTGAGACCGAGGAGGACCATTGGCAGGGCGGCCATCCAGTTTTGCTCCTGGCACATGAGCGCCGCCTTCATGGTGCGGTGAAGGCGCTCAACCATACCATTTGCCTGCGGATGATACGCATTAGTATGGTGAATTTCAAAACCGAAATTTTTGCTGAATTTCTTAAACAGGTCAGACTCGAACTGTCGGCCTTGGTCGCATACCACAGTTCCGGGGACTCCGTAGCGAGCGATCCAGTTGGAACGAAAGGCTGTGACGACGTCCAGGGCGGAAATGCGCTTGAGTGGGACGGCTTCTGGCCAGCGTGTGAATCTGTCTACCATTGTGAGGCAGTACTTGTAACCCTCGACTTCAGGGAGTGGACCGACGAGGTCGATGTGCACGTCCTTGAAGCGTTCTGTTGACTCTGGAAACGGAATCAGAGGAGCCTTAGTGTGTCTCGTAACTTTTGAGGACTGGCAGGGGGTGCAAGTGCGCGCCCAGAGGAGGCAGTCGCGGCGCATGTTGGGCCAGAGGAATTTTTCCGAGACCAGGCGGAGTGTGGATTTTGCACCTGGGTGGGCCAAGTTGTGGAGGGAGTCAAAAACTTGTTTTCTGAATTTTTGTGGTACGAAAGGGCGAGAAGCGCCTGAGGATGTGTCGCACCAAAGCATGTGTGGAGAATTAGGGATGGGTTTTTGCTCGAGTTTGAGGGGTGAATCTGGCAATTTACGGAATTTGAGGAGGTCTGTGTCAGCTGCTTGGGCTTCAGCCATGGCTTCAAAAGAGACTGCGGTCGAGATGGACTCAATTCTGGAGAGGGCGTCGGCCACCAAGTTAGCAGTGCCCTTGATGAACTGAATGTCAGTGGAGAACTGGCCAATGAACTCGAGATGGTGGAGCTGGCGCGGAGAGCAGTCGGCTTTGTTTTTGCTGAAAGCGAAGGTGAGGGGTTTATGGTCAGTGAGAATCTGAAATTGGCGACCTTCGAGGAGGTACCTGAATTTCTTGATGGAGGCAAAGATGCCGAGGAGTTCTCTGTCGTACGGAGGGTACTTCTTTTCAGCGGCAGAGAGTGTGCGGCTGAAGAATGCTAGTGGCTGCCAGGTGCTGTTGACGAGCTGTTGCACAACACCACCGACGGCATAGTCGGATGCGTCGGTGACCAGAGAGAGTGGGACATCTGACCTTGGGTGGGCCAGGCAGGCGGCGTTTGCCAGGGCTTCTTTGGTGGTGTCGAAGGCGGTTTGCTCAACCTCTGTCCACCTCTCCAGGGGTGCCTTTTTGGGGCCTTTGGGTCCATTCTGTAGACAATTCAAAGGGGCCATGAGCTTGGCTGCTTGTGGGAGGAATCTATGGTAAAAGTTTACCATGCCGAGGAAGCGTCGGAGCTCCTGCTTGTCCTTGGGCGTCGGGTAGGCGCTGATTGCTGTGACCTTGTTTGGTAGTGGAGTGATTCCGTCTTTGTTGACCAAGTATCCCAAGAAACTGACTTCAGTGGCGCCTAGGACGCACTTGTCGAGGTTCAGTAGGAGGCCATGGTCCTGCAGGCGTTGGAAAACCTGTTGAAGGTGCTCTCGGTGTTCTTCTGGAGAACGAGAGGCAATGAGTAAGTCGTCAATGAACACAAACACGAAAGGTAAGTCACCTAGAATTTCGTGGATGAAGCGCTGAAACGTCTGTCCTGCGTTTTTGAGGCCAAACGGCATGGAGAGGAATTCAATGAGACCCATTGGCGTCGTAATGGCTGTTTTTGGGACATCCTCTGGTGCCACTGGGACTTGCATGTAGGCTCTGTCGAGGTCTAGGGTGGAGAAGATGGTACAGCCGGCCAGCAAGTGGGTGCAGTCGTGAAGATGGGGAAGTGGGTAGCGATCTGGCTCGGTCCTAGCATTCAGAGCGCGGTAGTCACCGCAGAAACGCCATGTACCTGGTGTTTTCTTGGGGACTAGGGTTGCTGGCGACGCCCATGGGGACTTTGAGCGGCGTGCATCGCCATTGTCGATGAGCTTTTGGATCTCAACTGCGGCTGCTTTCAGCTTGTCTGGGGGCAGTCTGCGGAACCGGGCAAAGACTGGTGCTCCAGGGGTGACCACGATGCGGTGAGTGGTGGTGTGCTTTGCAGGTTTGCGCTTGGAGGAGGTGCAGCACAGGTCGGGGAAATCTTTCAAAAGAAGGTAAAAAGGGTTTTGTGTCTCAATGATTTTGACAGTGGGTGCAGGTTCGGGGCGATTGCAACCTCTGACGTGGACGGATGTCAGCCTGTCGGAGAGCTGGGCTAGGCCGAGGTCAACGACCAGGTTATGTCGAGTCAGGAAGTCAGCGCCGATGATGGGGTGTTCCACGTCAGCCACTAGGAAGGTCCACTCGAAAGTTCTCCTGAGGTTGAGGGTGAGTTTGAGAGTGTGGAATCCGTACGTTTTGATCTCTGTCACATTGGCGGCGGTGAGATTGTAGTGGAGGGGAAGTTTCATGTGGGGGAACAACTTTTGGGGAAGGACGCTGATGTCGGACCCTGTGTCCATCAGGAAGGACATCTTGGAGGTGGGGTCAAAAATGAAGAGGCGGCCGGGTGAACTGGGGCAGGGTGTGGCCGCTGCTGCAGCCTGCCCAGTTAGTTTTTTTGCCGGCGTGGGGGTGATGGCGGCGGCGGCCTGCAAGGACTGGTGACTGGAATGGTAGCGGCAGCCTGTGATGCACTTGCGGGCGTCCAGTTGGAACGTTTTGTGATAGTAACAGATCTTGCCGGCAGCGTTGCCGTCATCGAAGAGGTCTGTGTACCTGGACTTGGATCGCTCCCCTGTGCGACTTTTGCTGCGCCATCTGGATCTGCCTCTGTTGAAGCTGTCAGACTTGTTGTTCAGCAGGGTCTGGACTGACTGTGTGAGGGCCAGGACTTGCTGAGCCAGGTCGTCCAGTTTGGTTTCCAGACGGTCAACTCTTGTGGGTGTGCCTCCAGAGTAAGAGGTGGAGTTGGTTTTGTTGGTGGTGTGTTTGATGGCAGAAAGTTGGGGTGCAGGTGTGGAGAAGGAGTGTGTCACAGCGTTGGTGTGGTCTCTGGCAACCATCATGTCTGCTCTGGCTGCAGCCACAGTGACGTCACGTTCGCCGCTGATGGCCAGCCTGATGTTGTCGGGCAGCTTGTTTGCCCAGCACGAGAAAAGCATCTCATTCATCATGGGGTGAGTGGCGTCAGACTCTGCGATGCGCTGCATCCTGGCTAGGAACTCGGATGGTTTTGCGCCATTTGGACTTTCGTCAATCATGAGTTGACGGACGCGCGCCTGGGTAGTGGGCTCGACGTGTGTCAGGATCGCCGTCTTGAGCGTGGTGTAGGGCTGAGATTTTGGCATGGGTGCCAGGTGGCACAGGATTGACTCAGGTGTGCCGTTGATAGGGATGAAGTCGCGCAGGAACCGAAACATCTGGGGCTCGTCTGCGAGGTTTTCCTCGGCGAATTTGTCGTCGAGCAGTTTCAGCCAAGTCATGGCAGTCTCGTACTCAAACATGGGCATCGAGATGTTGGCCATGATCCTGAAGTTGAAAACTGGCGGAGTATCTGGTTGCTCCTGTGGAGGTTGCGCGTCTGGGTCGCCGGTCAGGGGCGGCGTTGGTTGCGCAGCGTCGCGGGCCACTTCGTCGAAGAAGGCCGAGGTGTTTGCATCTGCTGGGGAGCGTGGTTGATCAGCAGTCGAGGGCGGAAGGTCAGGCTCGGAGACTGCGTTGATTTTGGCGAGATCGCCGGTTCCTTCGGTAGACATCTACTGAAGTACCAAAGGGCTGGGCACCACTGTGGCGCTTGGGCCACAGAAGGGTCGTTTGAGAAATGAAACGACGGTAGTTCTTGATTCAGGTTTAATCCGAACTGTAAAAAATAGATACAATCAATATCACAATAATAAAAATAAATATTTTATTTTAATCAGGAATTTAATATGGTGTGGTTTGAGTAAACCTATTTGGTGATTTGTTTAATTGAGAATGAACATTGTGATGGAATGCTAATTTGCATAATTAATGAGTTGTGTGGCCGACAGTGGCCTTGCTATGTGAGCAAATAAAATCAAACAGATTTGCATATTTAAATGAGAAACAAGTTATTGAACAATTGAGGGATAATGCAGTGCATGTAATTTGAGTAAATTAATTCAGAAATTGAGATATTCGCGAGATTAAGTAAATGGCACATGGTGGCTGCACTCGGAATAATTTGTTATTTTGTATTTGGATATTGTCACTCGAGTATGGCACTTGCAGACAAACGCAATGTCTCGTTGAATGGGGAAAATTAACACTCAGGACTAAATCGTAAATTAAAGGCTTACCCCAGGCGTGGGTGTCGGATAATTTGAGATTGCGACGGACAGAGAGAATTTGTTTGTGTTGCTCGTTCGTGTCCGGCATGAGAAAGAAGGAGTGGTCCGAGGAGGGTCTCGGGGGAGATTTTACTGTGAGGTGCGCGCCCTCACGCGGCACCGCTACAATATCAACAAATGCGTTCCGAATGTTATATTCGTCTGAATATAAGTGAAGCACCAATTAAGTTGAATTTCATATATTTGCCCATCTTTGTACTTGCAACGTGTTGAATGTGAATTTTTACTTTAGAAATACTTTCTACAGTAGCTTAGCTTTATTCTGCCAAGTCTACAAATTGCTGGCTGATCAAGAAATAAATTTTCTAATATTTTGAAATCTGAAAATATTCTTACCCTGAAAATGGGAAAAAAATTTATTTTTGTCAAAAAATATTTAATCCGAAGCGCCCTTTGTGATTCCCTAGATCAGTGTCACTGATTGCGACAATTCAAGCTTATATTATCGGATTTATATCAACAATTGCGTTCCGAATGTTATGTTCAGTGGAAGGACTTTCCGCGCTTGTAGATTCAGTAGTAGCAGACGCTGTTGACGTCAAAGGTGAAGTGGTACCGGTTATTGTTGATGTTACAGTGGAAGGACTTTCCGCTGTCGTAGATTCAGTAGTGGCAGACGCTGTTGACGTGAAAGGTGAAATATTATCGGTTGTTGTTGCAGTGGAAGGACTTTCTGAAGTCGTAGTTTCAGTGGTAGCAGACGCTGATGACGCCACAGGCGAAGTAGTACCTACTGTTGATGGTGCAGTGGAAGGACTTTCCGCGCTCGTAGATTCAGTAGTAGCAGACGCTGTTGACGTCAAAGGTGAAGTGGTACCGGTTATTGTTGATGTTACAGTGGAAGGACTTTCCGATGTCGTAGATTCAGTAGTGGCAGACGCTGTTGACGTGAAAGGTGAAATATTATCGGTTGTTGTTGCAGTGGAAGGACTTTCTGAAGTCGTAGTTTCAGTGGTAGCAGACGCTGATGACGCCACAGGTGAAGTAGTACCTACTGTTGATGGTGCAGTGGAAGGACTTTCCGCTGTCGTAGATTCAGTAGTAGCAGACGCTGTTGACGTCACAGGTGAAGTGGTACCGGTTATTGTTGATGTTACAGTGGAAGGACTTTCCGCTGTCGTAGATTCAGTAGTCGCAGACGCTGTTGACGTGAAAGGTGAAATATTATCGGTTGTTGTTGCAGTGGAAGGACTTTCTGAAGTCGTAGTTTCAGTGGTAGCAGACGCTGATGACGCCACAGGTGAAGTAGTACCTGTTGTTGTTGCAGTAGAAAAACTTTCTGAAGTCGTAGTTTCAGTAGTAGCAGACGCTGTTGACGTCAAAGGTGAAGTAGTAACGGTTGTTGTTGCAGTGGAAGGATTTTCTGTTGTTATAGATTCAGTAATTCCAAACGCTGTTGACGCCATGGTTGAAGTAATTTCAGTTGTTGTTGACGCTGCAAGAGTCCCGGTTGTTGTTGTTGACTCTTCTGTGGTTCCAGTCGTTGTCGAATCTGTAGCTCCAGTAGCCGGTGTTGTTGATTCTAGGGTTCCAGGTAAACATTGAGCTTGTAATTAAAATTTACTCATGTGTTGTAATGCTTTTTATTTATTTTATTTTAGTGTTTTTTTCCCAAACATTATCTATAAAAAAAAGTCTGAATTTACATAGAAGTACGGAACATTAATTCGGAAATAGTTAAAATGTCAAAAGTAGCCTAAATTAAATTCAAGTTTCTATAGGAACAAGGTTTTCTGATCGGAACTTTGAGATGCGCAAAATTCAAGGAGAGTTGAAATAGCATCATTTAATTAAAAAAAAAAAAAAATCCACTTCTGATTATCAATATAGCAATATTTTAAAAATTTGATTCCCACCTGAGGCAGTGGCGGAGGCCGTAGAGCCAGCAGTCGTAGTTGTGGGTGCCACAGTTGTAGCTGAGGTTTATTATTTTTATGGATTTTTGTATTGGAAATTAATTTAAAATCTGATTCATATTATTTTCCACTGCCGAAAAAACAAATTTTGGAACTCACGTGTCGTTTTATCTGTTATCCACGCTACATAAGGTGCAACACGCGTGTATGTCGCTGCTTTCGACAAACACGATCCAAGAATTTCAAACTTTGTTGTGATACCAATTTGCACTAAATTGTCATTGCAATCTAAGTATACCAGAGGATTTCCTTTGTCATTATCCTACAATATCGATGAGAAATAATGAAAGAAACATCTTACAATTAAAATTATTTAATTTTCAAATCTTTACACAACTTTTTTTTTTAAAAAGAGCCAGAAATATTGTGAGCAATACAAATTTTGCTTGTGAATATTTAATGTTAACTTGTTCATTTTCTCAAAAATTTTAATCCAGTGTTTAACATGAATGCACTAAATAAATTTTTGGAGAAAATGTCCATGGATTAAAACAACACCACAGTCAGTAAATTTTTAATGTAAGTCTATCTAGAATTACAAGACGTGTAATCGCATAGCTTTCAATTAATAATACTTTCAAATCAAAGTCTCCAGAAATTTAAGGAATAGATTTCCTCACCCCGCAAGGTCCTTTCTGGCTGGTTTTTGTACACAGGTTCTTGTCTGTATAAAAGCCACTGCCAAAGTCCGTTGTGCACACTGCTCCGTCGTTCACAGTCAATTGAGCAGTTTGCATTGTTAAGCTATCGCCTGAAGCTGATGCGCAAGAGATTATTATTTTTTATATTTCACGATATAATAGATATTAATAAAATTTATAAATTCTGCATAAGCGTTGCAAATTAATGAAGGGCCTGACGCTCATTTAGCAGAGATATTTAATTTGTGAGTTTGTCACGTTGATATGCACCATCAACAGTAGGTACTACTTCGCCTGTGGCGTCATCAGCGTCTGCTTCCACTGAAACTACGACTTCAGAAAGTTCTTCTACTGCAACAACAACCGATAATATTTCACCTTTGACGTCAACAGCGTCTGCCACTACTGAATCTACGACAGCGGAAAGTCCTTCCACTGCAACAACAACCGGTAATACTTCACCTTTGACGTCAACAGCGTCTGCTTCTACTCAATCTATGAGCGCGGAAAGTCCTTCCACTGCACCATCAACAGTAGGTACTACTTCGCCTGTGGCGTCATCAGCGTCTGCTACCACTGAAACTACAACTTCAGAAAGTCCTTCCACTGCAACAACAATCGATAATATTTCACATTTGACGTCAACAGCGTCTGCCACTACTGAATCTACAACAGCGGAAAGTCCTTCCACTGCAAAATCAACCGGTACTACTTCACCTTTGATGTCATCATCAGAGTCTGCTACTACTGAATCTACAACAACGGAAAGTCCTTCCACTGTAACATCAGCAATAACCGGTACTACTTCACCTTTGACGTCAACAGCGTCTGCTTCTACTGAATTTATAACGCAAAGTCCTTCCACTGCATTATCAACATCATCTGAAACTACAGCAGCATCATCATCAATTACAACTGGAACTTCTACTGCGCAGTCAACAACTACTGGGTCGACGAATGCTGCTACTCCAACTACAAAAATAGAAACTATTTCCACTGCAACATCAACAACAACCGGAACTTCTACTGTGGCATCAACATCTACTGAAACCACAAATGCAGCGTCTGGAACCACAAATGCAGCTTCAACAACAACCAGCACTTCCGCGGTGTCAACAACACCCGTAACTTTTTCAACTCTGGCTTCAACAACATTAGCAGCATCAACAACTGGAACTCCTACTACGGCGTCATCAACTACTGGAACCACAAATGCTGCTACTTCATCTGTGACAACTACTGGAACCACAAATGCAGCTTCAACAACAACCGGCACTTCTGCGGTGTCAACAACACCCGTAACTTTTTCAACTCTGGCTTCAACAACATTAGCAGCATCAACAACTGGAACTCCTACTACGGCGTCATCAACAACTGGAGCCACAAATGCTGCTAGTTCATCTGTGACAACTACTGGAACCACAAATGCAGCTTCAACAACAACCGGCACTTCTGCGGTGTCAACAACACCGGTAACTTTTTCAACTCTGGCTTCAACAACATTAGCAGCATCAACAACTGGAACTCATACTACGGCGTCATCAACTACTGGAGCCACAAATGCTGCTAGTTCATTTGTGACAACTACTGGAACCACAAATGCAGCTTCAACAACAACCGGCACTTCAGCAGTGTCAACAAACACTGGAAGTACTTCAACTGTGGCGGCAACAGCGTCTGAAACTACTGCAATTACAACAGGAACTACCACCACTGCAGAGTCAAAATCTACTGGAACCGCTGCTGCTGTTTCGACCACAACGACTGGATCTACCACTATAGCCGATGCAACAACAGCCGGTTCCACCAATATTGTAGGTTCAACAACGACGGGACTCAGTTCTACTACTCAATTAACAACTTCGACTCTGATTACGGTGTCTCCGGTCCAACCAAAAAACTGCCCGTCCAAGAGTTATGCGGTAATAAGTTATTTTTTAGCCTTAATAGATATCCGTTGCCTTCAGAACGTGGCCAAGTGCTGTGCTAGTCCACCTAGGTTTCTGGTCCCTTTCAACAGGCTTGAGAAAACGTGCCAGGTGACCAGAGTTGCCCTTAACGCGTTCAACGTTTTCACGCTGAACAAGCAGCAGCGCTTCACTAATTCGCCTCCCAACTCTATTAATTTCCGAAGTAAAAGGGTTCAACGGGCATTGGCTCCGAAAGCTGTAGGTTTTATTATCTTTTTTCAGACTTGAAAATTTTGACTGACGTAAAAATTGCAGTGTTTCGTTAACTGCTATCTGATTGCAAAGGGAGCCGTATGAAATTTTCCTTCCTTTGAAATCGTCCATTGAAATATGAATAATTCTAGATGTCCTCAAACAACGTTATTGATGAGGCAAAACTTATCGATTTGCTCACCCTGGCGCAAACTGACAATGCGTGGAAATCAATAATTTCAGCAGCAGTAACCGAATGTATTTCTACAACTCAGGGTAGACCACGAAAAATAATTTTACAAATTTGGTCAATAAAATAAAAAATTAGGTCTGGCAATTCCTAGCTTTGCGACGGTTCGGGCCTCGTGCCCTGGAAAACCTTTTGTCGTGTTGCAGTGTGTTCTTCTCAAAACGTTCAGCGTAAAACATAACATTTGGAATTTTTCTTAATTATAAGTAATTCTTTTTTAATGCAGAGCTGTCCAGCAGTTGGTGAGTATTTTGAAGGTAAAAAAGTCTTTTGATACCTTCTTCTTTTTTACAGTTGCATCGAAACGGTGTACAAAACAGTACAACAATTTAAATCAGTGCAACGGAAACATTTTAAGGCCAAACGCAAAGAAAAGGCAAGCAGGAGGCGATGAACTGAAAAAAATGAAGAAAGTTGTTGAAGTTAACAAGCACAAAGATGTCAATAAAGACAAGAAAAAAGAAAAAGCCAAGAAATTTAAATCAGAAATGAAAGAAAAGGAGCAGAGCGGATATAAAAAGGATAAAAATGGAAATAAGGAGAAAAAAGTAAAAAAGGTCATGAAAGGAGAGAAAAAGATAAATCTAGAGAAAATAAAAATTGACAAAAAAATGAGCAAGAAGAATCCAAAGAGAAAAACGGGAAAGAATAAGAAAGAGAAGAAAGTCAAAAAGGTTAACAAGGCAAAAGAGAATGCAGAGGCCAAGGAAGACAAGAAAAATGGAAAAGTGAAAAAAGTAAAGAAATCTAAAAAGGAGAATGAGGAGCAAAAGAAGGTAAAGCAGAGTGGATCTAAAAGCGGGAAAAAAGAAAAGAGTGAGAAGAAGGAGAAAATTTTTGATAAAGGAGAGAAAAAGGTAAAGGTGAAGAACGAAAAGAAAATAAACACGGAGAAAAATGCAATCAAGGGAAGTGTAAAGAATAAGAATAAAGTTGGAATAAATATTTTAAAAGGCAAGAAAAAATCAAACGACAACGATGAAAAGAAGAAACAAAAGCTAGGAAATAAGTTTGACCTTGCGTGATCACATACTTAGTATTCATGATTTAAATCTAGATTTTTTGCACTTTTGAGCATGCAAATAAATTTAAACAATAAATAAATGTGATTTTATTTTGCTAGAAATTTTGTTTGAAAAGTAAAATTTATGATTATTTGAAAATAAAGTCTTCAAAAAATAGCACAAGAATCCTAGAATTAGCCATAGTTCAAGCAGATTGTGCCGAGATTAATAATTTATGCTTATATCTTATTTTTTTTTTAACTGTTTTGAATTTCAAATGAGCAGCAAGTGATGATGTGCGGCGGGCAAAACACACACACGGCGCATTTAGCCATTAGTTAATGCGCTTCCGCACCCCCGGGGGAAAAGCGGCGCACAGAGGGTGAGACTCGTTTTTTAGCCGTATGCTAATTAAAAGCGATTGCGCCGCGCAATCTGTTTTCGGTTTCACGGTCAATTGACTCGCAGATGGCGCATCTATTTAAGAGAAGAGACGCACATAAGGCCAGCCAAATGCCCCATTGTCCTAGGGGATGGTTTGGACGATTAGCAAACAGAATGATCGATTAGAAAATTTAAATAACATTAATTCGTTTTTTTTTTAACAAGCATCAATTTTAAGCAAAAATGATTCTATGGCGCGTTATTATTTATAGCTGTGGATTATTATTTTTAGGTACATCTTTGTAAGAGTTTCAAACTTTTATGAAATAAATTCTCATTTCCAGAAAAACAAACATAAAAGTTTAATACTACTACTTTCGTTCGAAAATAAGTTTTAAATAAAATTTTGGCTCCATCATGATCTTCAATACCTGGTTTTCAATTTTTCCAAGCCTTTTTTGTCCTTGATAGTAATTAAATTGTATATTTTTGCTTTGAAGACATTTTATAATGAAGAAGTTTCCGAATTCTCAAACATTCGTTTAATTATTTCGCAGCATTTTGTATTCCATCAAGGATTTAATAAATTTGAATAACCACACAGTCTCTTGTACGTTTAAATTGCAAAATTTGGATTTGCCACGCTGAGCAAGGTGAAATGCGAGAGGGAGGAAAAGGGTTGCTCGGAAGCGCCTCCATATGCATGAAGAAGGGTCGCTCTGCTGTTTTGATTCAAAAGGAAATTAAGGGATTTATTGGCTGCAGAGGCGCTCCTCGGGCTGCCATATCGCTCTGGCTTTACCTGCTTTACATATTAAATAATCACATGCGACAGCACCCACCGAGAGAGAAAGGAAATTTATGTTGCGGCGCCTTTGTCTTGCAACTATTCCAATTCACAAAACATCCAAAATTTTAAGTAGGGCCAAATATTAAAAGCAAAAATGTTTTCTTCAAGCAATTAATTAAGTAATAAGCTTCTCATATGTATAAAATAAAAATCAACCATAACTGCAGAAAAAAGTGAAAAAGGATTCAAAAATTGATTTCTTAAAAAAATTAAAATAATGGTTCTATGGAAATATTTTTTTTTTTAAATTTTTATAATATATTTTCGAAAGACTATAAAAATTAAATGCAAACAATGTGGAATAATATAAAACAATAATTATTATTGCACGAGGAAAATAATTTTGTATTTCATAATTCATTAAATTTATTTTGAAATTTGAATTTAGGACTGAAATGATCGCTTAAATTGATTCTTATTACAGGTTTATTTTAAACGCGAGTCAATTCTGTCGATTTCTCTCGGCCACTCACTCAATCCGGTGAATGGCAGCCGAGTGGATTTTTGCATTGGGGGCCGCGAGCGAATGAAGCGCGCGGCGTGTGCGCGTGTGTGTTGATAAATGTCAGTGCGTTGAGTCGCGTTTTCAAGCTACCTGTCCCGCGTCGCGCACCGCCATCCATCATTTTATCCAAGAGCGGCTGAAACAAACCATTTATCACCGCGCGACGCGCACCTGCCCTTGGAAGCGAAATTTCGATTATCAAATTTTCACAAAATTCAAATGAACAATTTTTGTTTATAAAAAAAATTTTTTTGACGCGCGTAAAAAATTATGCAGATGATAAAGATTTTATTAAATAAATGAAATTTCCGATTCATGTTGCCCCAACAAAGTCGTATTAAAAATCTTGATTGAAGAAATTGCCTCTCGAGGTGACGATCGTGGAAGTGAAGAAATTCATTTTAAAAATAAAAATAAGATAATTCTTGGTGGTAAATGAAAAAATACTAAAAAAGGAAAATTTTTAACATTAACACATAGTATTTTTGCCATCATAGTTAATTTAAAAAAATTGTAAATAAAATCAGGCAATTTTCTATACTAAATAAAATTAGAGATATTTTTAAAATGACGTGAGCTGGCATGATAACGATTATAAATTAATTAAAAAAAGGTTTTTGTTCACAACTTTGAATGAGTTTGAACTTGTGGAGTTGAAATGAAACAATTTCTATAGGAAAAGGTGCTTTAATCAAGATAAATGTTGAATATATTAGAAAAATGAATATAAATATGACGAAACAAATGAATTTTGTATAATAAAATAAAATTGAATTTATTTAAAAATTATTTTTTAAATAACAGTAGAAAGATTGTTTTCCAATGATGGAACTTGAACAATGTGACCATCGTATCAATCAGAAACAAAAAATAATAACAATAAAAATGATAAAAATTTCTTATATTTGATCCAAATTTTTGACTGGCAAAAAAAATTATATTTCAGTCTAAATGTTGTTCGAAGTGATACAATTTATAATTATGTTTTATTTTAATTTTCTAATCTGCCGAAATTTTAATTACAAATATATTTTGATTTAATTTAGTTTGAAACAGAGATTATGTAATTTTTATAAAAAATTTTTTTAATAGTTTTGTCCAAACTTTCAGAAACTGTTCTTCGTTTTCGAGATTAAATAAAGTTATAAAGAGGATAATTGTGAAATTTTTACCGCAATGGCCACGCACATTATTTTCGCGTTGATAAGGAAGGGTGTGTGTGATTTTGGGTCGACAAAATGCGCGACGCGCGTAGAGCAATCGACATACCGCGGGCGTGTTTGCAGTTGTCACCGAATTTTGATGAATTAATTTATTGGCCGCGCGCGCGATAATCAAATCAATAGAAGCCGCGAGACAGAGATAAAAGTAAAAAGAGTAGCGCGACGCAATCTCACTAATTGTGAACCGAATCGGGCCGGTTTCCGTCGAAATTCCCCACGCCGGTTGACACAAATCTAATCGGATCCTTTTCGGCATGCAAACATTCGCAAGATAAAAAATATAATAATGCGCGTCCGTGCATTTGCGGAGTGTAAAAATATATGGTTTTGTAAATTGTGCCAATGCCGAGTCAGTTGGTAAAAAGATATCAACAAACATACGATCATAAATCAGAAATAATCGGATCTTAATTAATGAGTGTTATTTTTAATGATTTTTTTTTATAATTTGGTTGATTTAACTTTGGTTCAATAAATGTTTCTTTGCTCAAAAGCTGACAATTTTTTAGAAATTCGAATGAAAATTTACAATTTTTTATCTTTCCTGTAATTTTAAAGTGCAAATTTTATAAAAAATAAATAAATTATTTTTATTTTTGACCATCTATGGATAATAAGAAAATTCTAAACCAAAATGTTTCAGTTCGTAAATATATATTTTATTATTTTTTTTTATTGGGTCGCGATTATCAGAAGTGGTAAAAAACGCGCCGTGATATAGAGGTGGTTGTAAATTTCGAATTTTTGTTGAATGCTCTCAAGTTCAGTTTGATATGGAGAAGCGTTTACGACTACTGTTTGGTGCCAGGCAATAAAGTGGCAATCAATAAAAGTCTCTCGTCATATTTGCAATAGACACACTTTATGGCCACGCTAATCTAATGTACACACTGGCGTTTTTTCCAAACCTAATTGGATCATCAAAACAACACACGGCAAAAACCTCGATTGGAACGCGCATCAGACGAAATTAAATTTAAGTGGATCATTTTGTAACACATTGCAAAATGTGTTATGCAAAAAGGATTTGAATCTGTAACTAAAATTTATTAATTGATAATAAAAGATGGATCTTTTAGATTAATTTATTCACTCTTATAATTAAAATTGACAATGTTTTTCTTTCAAAAATGGACATTGAGTCTCCAATATATTTGACATCAAAGACCTAAAGAGTGGATCACAGGTTTCAGCTTTTAAATCAACCACTGGCTGCTTAATTTTTGGTGGTTAATCAGGTTTCAGGTTGTTTAGTTTCTTTTTAAATTCCTTTTAAAATTCAAGTGAATTTCAACAGCATTACAAATGAACATTAAATTTTACTGGATTATATAACTGACACATGTTGTTTAAAAATGTGCTCAACTAAAAGTTTTCATTATTTAGTAGGATATCTTTTTCAATATTTTTACAGTGACCTCTAGATTTTTGTCCTTATTTGTCCACATTGTTACAATTCACAATGTTTCATTCGATTGTAAAAAAAAAAATTATTAAAAAAAGGAATTTTGGGCACCACCACTATAGCAAGAATTTTGATAAAACTTCTAAGTAAGATCCAAAATATCTCATCCGCCGCAATCCTAATAGCATTTTGAGTTTTATTCCTTGTTTAAGATTTTCTTACATGGAGAAATTCATAAAGAAGTCAATTTTCAATGCGATATTCCTCAATATATTTTGTGGTAGAAAACCACAAAGACCTCTCAGGGCTCTCAATTTTTCAAATGTATAGGGCGGGACAAAAATTTTCAACTTTTACATATTTTGTTAAATATTTAGTTTAAAAAAAAAAAAAAACAGCGTTTTCCAATAAAATATTACAACCTCGATTTTTACTTAATTTTTAACACTAAAATACTATAAAAAAAAACAGATAATTTAGGTATGTAAATCCAATTTTAATTGAAATAAAACTTTTCAACTAGAAACTTGAGTTATTTAGGAAATTAATATTTAATTTCAGATCAGAAATCGCTGTAATTTGACACTGGCAATTTCCATTATATTTGCCGACGGTAAACTTATCCGGCTAATGGCGAAAATTCTTTGAAGTGCGCGCCTAGACCAGGCACACGTACCGTTTTGTAGCCAAAGGGATTACACGTCTAAGCTT